CCATGTCATGTGTCATGTTCAATATGGGTCCATGCTACGTATCTTGTTCAATATGGGTCCCATATTACGGGTCATGTTCAATATGTGTCCGATGCTACATGTCGTGTTCAATATGTGTTTCATGCTAAGTGTCATGTTCAATATGTTTACCATGCCACGTGTCATGTTCAATATGTGTTCCATGCTACATGTCATGTTTAAAATGAGTCCCATGCATCGTGTCATGTTTGATATAAAACCCATGCAACAGTAGTAGGCTGAGGATGTATATCCCGATTGAAAGATTGTTTTGTAGCCCGGTTGGAATATTTTTTCTTTAGATCTCGTTGGCGCACTTTATTTCACTTTGGTGCATAATGAACAGGTACATTCCTCTGCTAAAAACGCTACATAAAGCCAGGGATCGAACTTACTAGTACGTTGTGCAGGTGAATTGTTTGCTACATATTGCTAAAGGATATTTATCCTCATCGACTGGATTGTTTTTATCCCGATTGGGATATTTTTCCCTCATCAGTAGTTGGGCCTAAATGAGTCTTCGTTTAGTGCACTGAGGCATTCAATGAAAAAAATAACCCGATCAAAATTAGTGTCCTGTTAGTGTTCCATACACACATAGCATGGACCATGTCTAAGCACGTTTTGTTGAATGTAAATAAACACGTATGCGTGTCAAGATATGGATAAGAGCCACGTAAATATATGATTTGTGGATCACGATAAAAGAGCTGGGCACGTAGGATGACGAATGCAATATAACCGAGAAAACTTGCTGTAGTAGCTACATTTTTGCTATTGAAAAGAGGTGTTTTTCTCGGCAGTGCTTTAGACATTTGAATGTGATAATTTATACTAAATGCGTAATGAGTCTAGCCAAATATTCGTTTTATTGTTGTTTGCGGTAGTGTAACCATAGCAATAACTAATATTCGCACAATAAATTCTGACTGTTTGACGACTAGCGGTTTTGATTATTACTTGTAAACATTTAAAAATAGCGTGTTCAACTCAACTATGTTTACAATGGGAAGTGATTTCCGGGGAAATGTCTTGACATTGCTGTTTAGTTGATTACAGCGCTCTCAAGATATTTTGATAAGCTCATTCATGATGATAGGGGCGGTTCTCGCAGGCGAATTCGATGTGTTTTTGCCACAATATTACAACAAATATAACGTAAAATGTAGCAAAAATAGATCATGAGCAACTAAAATATTACTGTGACACTAGAAATTAGTTGTGAACTGCAGTACATGTGAGCGTAGGATTTTGACGAGTCAGACATTATTTTCTTTCTTTATCTCTCTAGAAACTTATAATTGGTTGAAACAAAGTCATATACGTCTTTTTAATGTAGTGCACTTCAAAAAGTAACTTTTCAGGCCAAATGTAAAATAATATATTTTACACGTCACAACACGACGCGGTGTCACTACATC